TTCATATTTAGCCACATGATTTTAATCAACCAAGCAATTCATTCAAAAATTATAGTGAACCTTTTTAAGTCAAGCTACTTTTGTCTCTTTTCTCTTTTCACTCCATCTCACAGCAATAAATATATTTTTTTTTTCTTTTTTTCTTTTTTCGTGACCGGCAACGGATCGCAACCGTCAGTGTCGCGCCCGTACCGGACCAGGACCGGCAACGGGATCGCAACCCTCGGTGTTGCACCCGCACCTCGCTCAGCCAGTGAGCCGCCGGTCTGTATGTGGGATCCGAACCCTCGGCGGGAGCGCTGCTGCGCTCCCAAGCGGCGCACTGTAGCAGTGCGCCACCGGGCCGACCAGCAATAAATATTTTTAAAGTATGATTTTGATATTAAAATTATGGGTTATAATTTTGTAATGCATTTTTTTGCTCTTATCTCCTTAGCTCACTGGTAAATGCTTGGGTCAATCAAATAAACACTGTGCTCTAATGTTTTTCTGTTAATTTATGATAATAATATGATATAAGAAGTTGTTTAGGTGAGTGAGTTAATATTGGTATATGTGCTTAGACATCTTTTGAAAGTACACTGGAGATAAAAAAGATAATTTGTATCTGAGTAAGAAGTAATAGGAAAAATGTACATTAAATGCGTATGTTTTTAATATTTTAAGTCTATTTGGCAGGTTTTCATCATGTAAACACCTTATTGTGTTTCTGATAAATAATTCATGTAGCTTTATACTTTTAATGATTGGTTTAGGGACCACTGATAGTTGAAAACATTTTCAGTTTTACTGGAGTTTTGCTAGTACTGATGAAATTTATTGTCAGTTCTCATATCACCACCAAGCATTTATTAGACCCTAATTTGTTCAAAGTATAATGCAAGACCCAGAACAAAGAAAATGATCTAGATTAAACTCCAGTTTTAATCCTAACAGGTTTTATTTTAAATCTAAGCCTTTCTGTCTACAATTCTCCAATCCTTTAAGTAAATATCGTTATGTCTCAGGAAAATCCTGCTTGACTTGTAGTCATATAGCTCAGTTATAACAATAAGTTTGGTCTCAATTTTAGGTTTCTATTTATTTATCCTATATCTTGGTTTTACTTTGGAGGAGCAATTTCACAGGAGGTGCTAGAAAATAAAAAAGGTACTTTGGGCAGCTGGAGTTTAGTGGGATGAAGTCCATGGTTGTCATAATTAAAATTATTTTCATTTTAGAGTTGAAGACCCTATGGTTTGATTCAAAAAGATTAAACTGATTAAAAGATTACAATAATCTGATTGAAGACAACCTCAGGTGTGCTATTAGGCTCAAGCAGAATGGATCAAGCAAATCTGAGGTCTTAGTTTTGTACATGTTTACCTAGAAAGTTTTTCACCCGTAAAGTGAACATGTAATATTGGGTTGTTTTAAGTACCATTTTAAGATGACTTTTACTCTTGTGTTAATATAAATTGTAACAGATTGAGAAAGTGCTATGTCTCTATTTCTCTACTTTCCGATATTCACCTCAGGCTTATTTTAAAAACTGTACGTTGCTGATATTTTCATTATGAGTCCACATTTTATTATAATGTAAGTCATTTTCCTAGACTATATATTGAGTGATCTTATATGGAAATGATTCTCTTTAGAGAAACGTTCAGGGCTTTTCCCTGTTTTAAAGAAATTATTAGATGAGATCTACTAGGGAAAAATGGACATTTTCTCCGAACTAAGACCTAACAGTAGCTTCACATAAAGGGCGCCACTATGCCTTTGCTACCTCCAGGTAGCTCTATGTGCTGGTCCCTGCTCCATGCACCATGCCATGCTGGCCTGGGGAACAACCAGGGCTGGCTCTGATCACGGTGATCCCTTCTCCTGCTTGCCATGGCTTCACAGACTCAGTGGATCTCTTTTCCTCTTTCCCCAACTTTCAGTGATTTTAGGATGGCAGCTTTTATGTTCTAATGGTTGTAAGTTGATGTTTTGGGTTGGGGGGAGTGACACTGGGATCATGTAATCTACCATCTTGAGAACATCATTTTGTAGTATTTTCTATAAAGAGAATGGAAAAACTGAATAGGACTTTTCTCTAGCATGGT